GATCCCCCCCCCGTCAGGAGCGAAAGGTGGACGTACACGTGCATGAATCCACGTTGATTTCAAGAGGTTCGCATTGCGCGAACGTTCGTATCACGCGGCTGGTTTCGCGGACTGGAGGGCCGTGTTCATGTACGCGGCTGGGCGAGTACGTCCTTTGTGGGCTCCCCCCCCTCCTGCCATTCGGCAGCAAGTCATGGGAGCCTCGGCAACATGCAGCATTTCGTTCACAATGTCGGCGAGCGAGGGGGGGGGGAAGTGAGAAGGAGACGGCCTTCTCAGAATGCTGCGGGGTTTCCCAGAAGGCCTCCAGCCTTCTGACAGGTCTTCTGTGTCTTCGGGGAAAGTTGGGAACACTTTTCAGAAGGCCGGGGCACTTCCGAGCCTTCTGATAAGGCCCGCCCTTCTCACTTCCTCCCTGGCTCGCCGCTGACACTGTGCAGCATCTCGTTCATGCCAGGCGCTAGCATGTGCAGCCTGACTCAATTCGCTTCCGGTGCACGCCACCGCGCGCTGAACGATTTCGGACTGCCTCGGACCACCTGGCGCCCGCGGACATAAAGCACGTTTAGCCTGATTGCTTTGACTGGCCAGGGCGCTCTGGCGAGTCATCCTTGAGGTGGCAGCTACTCGTGTGGCCGTTTGCGTCGGAGAGAAGAACCGAATCATGGGAGCCTTGTGGATTGTCTGGTCCTTCATGGGAGCATCAGAGGGTCCCACAGTTCCTTGCGGTTTGGTGGATTTCGCGCGGGGTTCGTCAAATTTGGCGACTTCTGGACGGAATCTGGACGAAATCTGAACGAAGTCTTGACAAAATGGTGAAGTGGGGCGGTCGAAGTTTGGGCGAAATCCGATCGAATTCATGCTTCTGATAGGGCCGCAGAGATCCACAGAGGCTCCCATGAATGCTCACCCAGTACCGTCGCAATTCCGTCTGTAGAGTGTGCTAGCATCGATTAGCGCCTGGTCATCGAAGAGGGGGCGCCGATTTAGCGTTGACTAGCGTCGATTGTCGCCGATCTAGCGTCAGCCAGCGTCGATTAGCGCCGATCAGCAAGAGCCAATCAGATGGTATGGGAGGCCCCCACGAGTTGCCACCGAAGTGTTTTCTCCCCTGGCGGTAGCGGGCGTGCCTGGGAGGGGGGGAAGGGGGGCCCGGACGGGAGGTTTCTCGTCGGTAACGGCCTCTGGGGGCCCTCACTGGACCGCAAGACCGTTAACTTAGTATTCAGGATCCAAAGCTGGTCCGAGGGAAACAGTCGGGACTTCTCGGGGGCGCATTGTGTTTCACAACATGCGTTTCCGCCCGTTTGCAGGCACAGGCACACTTTCTGCGATGGTGCAATTTTCCGGCAACGTCGGATCCCAGGGGTGGGATGGGCTGAGGGGGCTGGTGACGTAACGATTCGCGCCGGCGCCAATTGGGAATGCTTGAGAATGCTTGATTTCCACACGGCGCTGGCGCAAATCGTGACGTGACTGCATGGGGGGGGGGGGGGGCGGGACCCGTTACCAGCGTTAACGGGCTCCACTCCCGATCGAATTGAGACATCCAAGCTAGACGATCAGGGCACGCCGATGCAGCTCTTTGTCAGTATGAGGCTATCGTTCCGCCCCTCGCGGGGCAGGTCTGAGCCAGAATTGGTAACTGAAGGTCTGACGGTGTACACGCAAGATGGTGTACTCACAGGAGGGCATAATGAGACAAAGGTGTTTCCGACGCGCGCGCGCGTGACAGCCGATTTTCGCGATCACGCTGCCCACTCTCCCTCCTCGGCTTCCTAGCTCTCTCTTCCCTCTCCCTCGTGGCTGGTGCTTAGCATGGTGGAGCACCCTTTCCCCCACTGTGGGGAAGCTGGCAATTTGCATGATCCGCGCACGGGCTGCTCTTGGAACCGGAAGGCCGCGGCGCCCGCAATTTGGCCTTCGGGGGGGGGCCCGCTTCTCGCTGCCACGGCCGGGCGCGGCTCGGACAAAGCTGGTGCGCCTGGACCGCGGGAGCTGCCCGGAAACCGGCCAGCCAGCCACCACTGGGGGAGCTGTGGTCCTCACCCCCCCGGGGGTCCCGTCGATCTCGACGCCCCTCTCGAGAGGGCGTCGCTGCGATGGGCTCCCCCCGGGGGGGCAGGAGGACCACCGCCCCCCCAGTTGTGGCTGGTCGGAGGAACCCTTTTCTCTCTCCCGAGCTGCCGTCGCCCCGCCTCGCCCGGCTCCGAGCCACGGGCGCCCCGCCCGGCGCGGGCGGCCACCGCCGCCCTCGCCTCCCTGGGGGCGCCGGCAGCCCCATGGCGGGCCACGGTGCGTCGGGCGTCGGGGGCTCGGGGGCCCCTGCGAATGGCGGCCTCCCCTCGTGGTTCCGACGCTGGCGCACCAACAGCACGCACCCATAGCCACAGGGGGGTCGGAGAGGGCTACGGGTGCGTGTTGTCGGACGGGGGGTTCCCGCCCGAACGGGAGCGTTCCCCAGGGTCCGACAGCCCGCGCCCACACCCATAGCCAGTCCTCCTCCCAACGACCTCCCTGTGGGTTTGGGTGTGTGTTGTTCGTTCGTCAGCCGTGGCTTCGACGCAGGTGTTGGTTTGGCATCGACGTGACAGCGGCACGGACCCGAGGTCCCCCCACAGATGCAATATCAGATCTCTCCGGCGACATGCCTCGTTTGCTTCAGTCCTGGAGCTTTTCCTCAATCTGTCTCTGCGACCGCTACCGAAGCCTGCCCCTGCGGGTCGAATTGGCAACAGGGTATTGGACACCCCCGCTGGGGCTCACCTGGCTATACAGACATCCTTCGAGTTTTTAGCCCCAGCCGATTCTGAGAAATCTAGCCTGCAGGGATAGCAGTTCACAGGCGTCGAAGAAGAGAAACCGCCATAATTATAAACTTTCGGCGCTCCGCGCGGATTTCTTGGATCTGCGCTGGGACCCCCTTGGTGGCGCCTCCAGCGCCGCACCTGGCGCGCTCCGCTCGCCAGAGAGAGGTGTCCAGCGCGGATCCGAGAAATTCGCGCGGACCTTGAAACGTTTATGTTCATGCCGTTGTTGTTCCTCTGAGAATTGAAGTATCGGCGGACACCCCCGCTGGGGCTCAACCTGGCCACAGACATCCTTCAAGTCTTTAGCCCCGGCCGACTCTGCGGAAATCTCACCTGCAGGGACTGGGTTTCACACAGAGAGAGAGAGAGAGAGAGAGACGCCGTGCACATCACAGGTGCGCTGGCGAAAGTGAAACGGCAATACTGTGAAGCACGACGTGGGAAACCGTAAGCTAGCACAATCATGCACCACCGCGTGAAAAAGCGCAGAGCTCAGGCCTTTTTGGCGACCGACCGCCATGGCACCCGGCCCTTCCTGCCACAGGGCGGCTGCCAAGTGACTTGGCAGCCGCCCCGCTGCGGGCGGAGAGTTAGTCTCCGCCCGCAGCGGGGGGCAGTCCCGCATAGGCCTCCCGCCACGGGCCACTCGATCGAGCGGCGCCCCCCCGGGCGGCACGCCGCCCCGGCGGCCGGAGGGGGGTCGGGGTGGGGCGGTGGGGACCTCCGGGGCCGCGCGTCCAGCGCGCCAACAGGCACCGACTACTGCAGGTACTGGTTGTACCTCTCCCCGCGGATCCATCTGCGCCAGACTCGCTATTCCGGCGTAAAGCAAGGTTGGGCGCCTCCAGTGGCCCTGAATCAATCGGCCGACGTCTCTGCACGAACGAAACGGGCACGGAAAGAATGGGCACAATGCTCAACAGCAGTCCCTGTTCATTTTGAGCAGGGCTCGCTGTCCGCGCCGCCGCGGCCTGTGTCCAGTCGAGACAGGAGGCCGCCTGCCCAACAGCGGCCGCTGTTGGTTTGGGACAACATCTGTTGTTGGGCATTGTACCAATTCTTTCCGTACCCATTTCGGGCGTCCAAACTCAAGAACATCGCATCGTCGGACGTCTGTCGCGCAGTGGCGAAGCGTCCTGGCTCGCCTATAGGCCCACCAAACAATGTCCCAAGAACCTTTATTGTGGTTCCAGCGAAAGGTCCTTAGAACATGTCTGGTTGGGACTGCCTTGTTTTGTCACATCGGGTTTATGTTCTAAGAACATCGTTCTGTTCTTAGAACATGTTTGGGTTCTAAGAGCATTTCGTGGTAGGACTATAGGAATGCCGGGACGGTCGGTCCCTGCTCAAGTCTGGGCCCCAGGGGGGGCCACCTCCTCCTGGCGGTCGAGGGTTATAATGTTCCAACCGACCTTAGCCTTGACTACCAGAGAGAATTCCGAGCACCAAAAAAGTACCGACACTCGAGGGTTTTCACGTGTCGTGCCCTGGGAGACACTCGCCCGACACTGTTTCGACACTGTTTCGACACTCTTCCGACCCGGGGGGGTCACCACCTCTTCCTGGCGGTCGAGGGTCGAGGATGGGGACGAGGAGGATGGAGGATGGAGGATCGAGGAGGTCGAGGATCGAGGAGGAGGATGGAGGATGGAGGATCGAGGATGGAGGATCGAGGATGGAGGATAGCTCAAGAGCTTCTCAAGCCAGCCCTCGCGGCGGCCCAGGCCCAGGCCCCCGAAGAGGGCCACAGGCCGGCCCAGGCCCCCCAAAGGCGGCCCCCCAAAGAGAGAGCTCCAGGGGGCCCGCACGCCGCCACGCTGGTCCCGGGCAGGTAGTGCTGGGGCGGCGCGCCCCGGGGAGCAGGCAGAGGGGGGCAGAGGCAGAGCAGTCAGAGGCGAAGACGACGTCGACGACGACGACGAAAACGACGACGAAAACGACGACGACGACGACGACGACGACGACGACGACGGCTTCGCAGCCTCGACGATGCGACGACGACGACAACTACGACGACGACGACGACGAGGACGTCGACGACGACGACGAGGACGAGGACGACGACGACGACGACGACGACTACTACTGCTACTACTATTACGAAGACTACTGCTACTACTACTACTACTGCTACTGCTACTGCTACTGCTACTACTACTACTACTACTACTACTACTACTACTACGACTA